TCTATAGTGTAGTCAGCTGCAGGTATGTTTAAAGGTGGAAAGGGGGAGAAGTGTTTTTCTAAAATACTAATTTCAAGAACAAATCAACATCTATTATCTCCTTCATCATGTTTTAAATTGTAACAACTATAAATCACCCAGCAGCGGGTTATTCAAGGGCAGAATTACCCCGTTTAGCTTTCACGAAGGTTAGAAGAATGACATCTTGTGCTTTTTCTAGCTATAATTTATAACTTTGCAACAGAACCAGCCTTGCCGGCCCATCCATTAGCAGGGTAGCCGCACATCCGTTACAACTCAGCACGATGACTGGCTTTACGCGGGCACAGGAAACGTAACCCGATCACCGCAGAAGTTCCATGAACGTAAGCCATTTTTTAATGTAAAATGATTTGAAAACGCAGTTCCCTAAAACATCTGCTAAGCTCTTGCTACCCTAACACATGATATTCTTTCTACTGTTACCTGCCAACACAAATATTTGGTTGCACAAAACCCTTCTAAGAGGCACGTGACAGTGCTCAGCTTCACATTTACATACTGGTCCACAAAGGACTGGCTTGGACCTGGGAACTCTGGCAAGGATGTGTTTACCAGAAATGAAAGCTCATGTGGAAAAAAAAAGGGGGGGGGGGTGCGGCATTCATTTCAGTGAAGGTGCTGTCAAACATTTAAAAAAGGAAGCATAACTGCATAAGTAGCTATAGATGGAAGGGGAACTACTGTGCACTGGACGCAGCAAATGCAGCTGTGAGTAGCAAGTGAAAGTTTACAAGGCTGGTATATCATTTTACTGAACACGCTGGGTGAGCTCTCTGCTTTTCAACTACAAAATAAAGATAATAATTCTAAGATTGCAGAACTTGGAATTACTAATTCTAATAGAAATTATGAGAAATTAATGAAAATATATGCTGATACATAAAGCATCGTGGTATCTGGGATAAACTGCCAACCGCATCTCTATTTGGAAGTGCGGTAGGATTCTAAAGTCATCACACGTGGCTACAACTGCAAAAAGCCAAGATTAGCCTTGAAAATCCCTTATGTGCACCAGATACAATGCCTGGTTTTGTGAATTAAAACCCATAGAATAATACGTATATACAAATATAGATGCTAAAATACAATACGTTTTTTCAACAACTGAGAAGTTCTTACCAAACAATACATACTAATGCATGCATGTGCAAAACACTTTAGAGTAATTTAACTGCATAAAAGAATGTTCTAGAGACAGGAAAATAAACAGGCAATGCACGCATGACGTGACTTCATTATGAGAAAGTGCTCAGCAAATGTTAGTTTCCTTTAACATATTTTAGAAGCAGCTATTTGAAGTATCTTGCATCTTTTTTAGAAGGACATTTAAAAATAACTCAATTTCCAAGTTTATCTGTGATTTTTATTTTACCATAAATTGGAGGAAGGAGGAAACAAACACTTCTCCCCCAGAACCCCCCAATTTACTTGTCCAGTTCTCTAGATCTCAAGAGGAACAGGGAGGCAGAGACACGGCTTTACCAGTAGGGGCCGCTGTGCTGAGAATTGATTCCTGTGAGTTTCTCATTAGTGATTATTATACTGCAGGCAGCCAAAATGGAAAAATTAATTAATTTCAAAGTGATAATGCATTTACAGCAACAATTAGAAATGTATAACTGTAAAAGGGCAACATTTAAAAGACAGATTACATTTAATAAAGTTGCACAAGAACATCCAATTGTAAAATTACTGATCTGCAACAATATTCCTTAAAGAGGCACTTAAAATAGCCTGACTCCATGAAGGGTGACCTAATTACTGTAACTAAAATCACCGTAGTCACAGCAAGTCACAGCAAATAAAAAAGAGACGTTGATATTAGAATACTGCTGTTTAATACTTAAGGGAGCCGGCTACAGGGAAGAAATGAAGGCAGGGCTTCCAAACACAAGGCTGGGTTGTATTCCTTGCTCCCTTGACCTCATGCAATGGAATGTGTACTCCAGCAATACTCGTGTCAGAAGCAAACACCCTCTCTAAGGTGATAGGCAGACAAGGCAGACCACACTAGCCATCTGCTGATAGGGAGATTGCGTCTATGCTAAGCTTCTCAATCACAATTAGAAACCCAGCCACATGTGGCCCATGGCTACCTTACTGGAGAGCCAGATTATAATCATTGCAGAAATTCTATAACCATCATTACTGATGTTATATGCATTATTGTCAGTCCTTACACCAACCTGTATCGCAATTTTCGTCTTAATGAGACAGACTGAGAACGCTGGTGACCTAAGTTGTTCCAGTGGTCAAGGGTAAGAGCTGAGCTTAGCCATCAGCACCACTAGCAGGAGAGCTGCGAGGTCCACTGTCCCAGGTAGCCACTTTCTTCTCTTGCCACCACCAGGAAGCCATGTCAAATCCCATCTCAAGTACAAGGGAAATGCTGACGTCCCCTGCCCTTTCTATGAGTGCCCCTCCCCAGACAACTTCAACAAAACCTGCGATTTTTGCGACGTCACCACTTTTCTCCAAACCCTCTCATGAGCTACCCACTCATTTTCCCACAGCTTTCTCACCCAGGGACCTAAAGCTTAGTGCACGTTTAATCTTTTACCCAGGGCTGCTCCCAGAGGTCATTTGTTTCTCCCAAGCCTTGCCTTGCTCTAGGCATTGAGACCTGCTCACAAGCAGTCTCTGAGCTCTCCTGCCAGGGAAACAGGAGAGACTGTGGTAGGGTGCGGCAGAGGCTGCTGCACACTGGTAGGGTAGGCAAAGGAATTAGGCACGGAGGTCGGGCATCTGTTATTACTAGGACACACTCCAGGTATGGTGCTCACTGAGTTGCAACCTTCGTCCAGTTCATGGTGCATCCTCCCCCACATGGTAATCCTTCTGCCTCCGTTTCTAACCCCATATTCTGGTTTTCCACTCAGCCCAAGTCCTGAGCACCCTTACCCCCAAAACAGCAACACTCTGGTATCATGATACAGTCACCGACCCAACTTAATTTGCTGGTACTTTCTAGAAATACTCCTGTTAGGTTCGACCAGCCAACATTCAAGTCTGACTTTATTAAGCATATTATATTAAAATATTAGATAATAACTCTTCTCCAATAAATAAAGATATTTACCCTGCATTTGTATTTTAGCAGAACTTGTCTTCCTTCTTTTCCCACCTGCCCTGGCCCAGAGTCCCTAAACAATGTGATCAGGACACAGAATAACAGTTTCCACTATTTTCTGTCAACAACTCCTCATCCGTTCGCGTCGACGACAAATGGCAAGATGCTTCTATCACCCTTCACCAAATTCCATGCAGTCACAGACTCATCTCTAAATCTTTCTTACTATGTTCCTCTGATTAGGGACCTTACGGAAGAAGGAGAAAATGAACTCTCTGATGCCACCGAAGCGAGTTCCTTAGAACCCATCAGTGATCAAATACTAGTGAGATGACTCAACACCCAAAGATTACAAATGATGGTTGATTGGGCTTGCTAATGTGGAAGGCACTGGGCCAGCAGAAAATAAGGAAGAATCCACCTCTCTCCTCTCCTCATTCCTAAACGCCTCATTTAAACAGCACTGGCACCCAGTTCAGATCCATATTCTTTCTTTTCATGCCAGCTGAAGGACAGAGCAAAGTATGAGGCATAATCACGGTCAAAGAAACCGGCATGAAGAGGCTGCGCTTATACAATCATCAGGAGCAAAGTGATGGGGAAATTTCAAAACCCTGTGATCCACCTGCAGATAAGTTTCATTCATCACTTCCTAGAGATGAATCCCACCCTGCGGCATGGAGAACCACTCTCCATACGTGCCTTCACCGCAACCGATCCTAAGTGTTCAGCTCTCGGAATATGTCTGTTTACTTTGCATAAAAACCACTTGGGAGATTAGAATAAAAGATGTACTTACTTATTTCCTCCTAAGCAGTTCTTTTAAGCAGTTCAAAAGACTTTTGATGTGGTTTTAAAAGTCGTTCCCAAATACCAAGGTTAAGGATGGCAGGTGGGAATGAGTGTAAGAGAAGGCAGCAGACGGTTTCCAAGGCTGTGACATTGGTTGGAGGATAATAGGCCAGCGATACTTCTTTTTTTGTTGTTGTTTTGCTTTGTTTTATTAACATCCTAGGTTTAACTTTGAAGGCGTGTGATATCTCTAAAAGCCAAATGTGTTTTGGAAAAGGAAGATTTCTGTACAGTAGATTTCAAGTTTGGGTAATTGGAATACTGGTGTCCACTAATAGGAAGACGTTTTTGAAGTCCTTTGGTTTTGAAAAATAATCTACCAAATATATTGTGGAAAATATGCTTTCTTCATTCAAATTACTTCCTACGAAAACAGTTCCACAGAATAATGTTCTTAATATGGTTGATAAATGAACATCAAATTATGAAAACATGGTATCACCCTTGTAAACACTTCCAAATGTAACCACAGTACCGTGATTCATCCAAAATCGTCTTTGGGAAAGTAAAGAAGAAAACACACTCCTAGCCGTCAAAGGATTCTCCAACAGAGGATTACACCCATTAGAAGAAGAATTTAGAACATCAGATACAGATTTTCTACGAAACAAAGGAATCACATCTCCTGAAAATTCAGTAGTCACAAATCTTTGTTGTCCACCTACTGACACAAAACAGCAGTTTTCAAGCACTCCACAAAATAGATTTTCAAAGTTTCTGAATAAAAAACCCCCCAAAAAACAAAACATAACAACAACAACACAAAAAACAAATCACCATTTCCATAAGGACTTTCAGCCATACTTAACATGGTACGGAAACCCACATGGTCCACCCAAGCCCTCCAAGACGCATTTACCCCAACAGATTTAATCTAAAGTTGATGCAAATGTGTTCAAGAGCCCTTTATGATGGGCAGGACAATGTTATTGCTGAGACCAGACTCATGCCTGCAAGAGGTAAAAAGGTGGAGACACATGTGTGCAGGTTTCTCTAGGACCCAAGGTGTTTGCGGCGCCAGCAGCCGTTCTCTTACCATGGACTTGGTGAAAGGCCTCGCCAAGGTAAACAGCAGTGTGTACACCCACCAGCTGCGATGAATGTTGGAGTACATCATATTTCCAGGATGCACTGCGTTCGACGTGACCCCACGCGGGGAGAGGCGACGGTGCAGCTCGTTGGAGAAGAGGACGTTGCAGAGCTTGGACCTGTTATAAGCCAGCATTGCCCAATAGTCGTTTTTTGATGGAGAGAGGCGACTGAAATCCAGTTTTCCCAAGGAGTCATTAATATCTGTAAATCTTAAAAATAGGAAATATGATGTGAAGCAACCAAGTTCTGACTTCTCATACAGCTTTTTATTAGAAATCTAAGAAAGACTGGCTGCAGTGGCTCACATCTGTAATCCCAGCACTTTGGGAGGCCGAGACAGGTGGATCACCTGAGGTCAGGAGTTCAAGACACCCTGGCCAACATGACAAAACCCCATCTCTACTAAAAATACAAAAATCAGCCAGGTGTGGTGGCATGCCTGTACATGGGAGGCTGAGGCAAGAGAATCGCTGGAACATGGGAGGCGGAGGTTGCAGTGACCCAAGCCTGGGCAACAGAGCTAGACTCCAACTTAAAAAAAAAAAAAAAAGGAATCTGAGAAAACTATCTAGAGATGACTAAAAATTCAATCTTGCATACATCAAAACAAAGTCTCCCTTAAAGACTGACAATGGTGATTTAACAATATAAACATAAGTCATGTGTAGTGGCTCATGCCTGTAATCTCAGCACTTTAGGAAGCTGAGGAGGGAGGATTGCTTGAGTGTAGGAGTTCAAGACCAGCCTGGGGAAGATAGGGAGACACTATGTCTACAAAAAATAAACAATTAGTTGGGTATGGTGGCACATGCCTGTGGTCCCAGCTACTTGGGAGGCTGAGGCAGGAGGATCGCTTCAGCCTGGGAGATGGAGGTTGCAGTGAGCTATGACTGTGCCACTGAACTCTAGCCTGGGCAACAGAGTGAGACTTCAATCTCTAAAAGTAAGAATTTAAAATTTAAAAATTAAAAAAAAAAAGAAGCATTGGCTCCAAAGATAGACTTCAGTAAAGGCCCACACTCATAAATGTAGCAGTCCTGACATGCTGAACTCCCTCCCCACCCTCTAACATGTATTTTTCAAAACCTTCAACAGGAAGTTCAAAGATAATTAAATTAAACAGAAAAGTATCTTAAATAAAGGGCTGCTGCTTTTGGAAACAGAAAGATATCACATTCCTAACCTTTGACAAGGCTTTCCTGGATGATTTTAGCTAATGCTTGAGTACTGTATATTTTCATTTGAGCATCCAAGAAAATATAGATGAGCCTTGTTGCCTCCAAGACTCTTTTCTAGATTAAAAATTAATGATTATAAAGGGGTTATAACCTTGGTGAGGTGCCATCAATAGTCTTATACATTTAAAAGATAAATGTAAACAAAGCCAAGATGAATTCTGGCACAGTCTAATGTTTTTAAGTATACCCATGGCATGGATGCACACAAATCAACGTAACTAGTTGATGTTTTATAATTGGGTCTGACGGAGTCATTAAACACCAGCTGTTTGTTTCTTTCCCTTTGTCTCTTTCTCTTAAATAACAACAATGTAGTGATTGCCCTTACAAAATGGATCACAACAAACAAAAGGAATTTTCTAAATGGTCTCATCTTTGTCAAAGGACCCCTCATACTCTGCTTCTATAAGTTCATTCTGGGCACTGGGTAATGAGGAAGCGTATTGGGAATCCTCTAGAAAACTGCTATGGAAAACAAAAAGCAAAAAGCAAAAAGTAAAATGAAAATTACAGAATAATCCTATTGTTCCGTAATATCAGCAGCTCAGGTTGGGCTAAGACCAAGAAAAGCATGGCAAGGGCAGATGAAATTCATGTTTTAATGGAAATTAAATATCCCTTCCACAGGACTCAGTGACATCCAATTTCTAGTGTTAAATGACATAGCTGCTCTAAAGCCATCAACAAAGTCGATGGCCAGAGACATCATCAGGGATACAGAAATGAGATCTTGAAAGGAATTGTTGGCTGCCCATTTTCAAGTACTCAAACTATAGGAAGAGTACGACTTCCAAGCTTAATTGTCGAAGGCAGTGGAACTCAGCGGGAAATTTGAAAATATACGAGGGCCTTCTTCTGGTCGTCGTGATGATCGCTGGTGATGGTAGCAGGGATGGAAGATCTCTTGCAATGCAGATGAAGTCTTGCTCAATGAAGATTGCCCCAGTGGACACTCATGCAGATGAAAAGCCTGTGGATAATTATCTGAGCCTAGAAACATCCACTGAATTTCCAAGTGGGTAGTGCAACAATATACATGTAGAATGAATGAAGGCACTTCCAGATTTTGTGTGATTTTTGGATGGTGACTGATATCATTTGGCTTTGTCCCCACCCAAATCTCACCTTGAATTGTAATAACCCCCATGCATCAAGGGCAGGGCCAGGTGGAGATAACTGAATCATGGCGGTGGATTCTCCCATACTGTTCTCGTGGTATTGAAAAAGTCTCATGAGCTCTGATGGTTTTATAAATGGGAATTCCCCTGCACATGCTCTCTTGCCTATCATGTAAGACATCCCTTTGCTCTTCTTCATCTTCAGCCATGATTGTGAGGCCTCCCCAGCCATGTGGAACCATAAGCCCATTAATCCTCTTTCCTTTATAAATTACCCAGTCTCAGGTATGTCTTTCTTAGCAGCATTAGAACAGACTAATACAGTCAGGCCTCACTCAAGGTTGGTGGTACTGGAGTCTGCAATACCATACACCTGGTAAGGGTGTGTGTTTTTTTTTTTTTGAGTTCACTCAAGGTGATTCATGCATGGATACATATGTTCCATCTTTCCTGTAGCCCGGCCCAAGCATTCACATGTTGAAACACACACCATTTTGTTTCCGTTATTTTTTCTTTGCATTACAGTAAAGCCACCATATCGAATTAAAAATATATTTGTACATGTAAGTTATGTTATTTGCAAACTTTATTTCAACATAATAAGGTATTACAGAAGACTTGTCACACAAAGGTGCTACTGAGATGAGAATCCAGTGATCCCAGGTATGGGACAGGACTTGAAAACTCTATTGACATGGCATAGACAACAGGGACAAGGATTTAGAGAGTATCCAAAAGGTACGGAATATAGTACCATCCATTCCCTCTCTCTACTCATCTTTTATCAACTGCTGCCGGAAATCCTTCTTGGCATATTTGTTTAGCCTGACCCAGTTCAGGGACTACTTCTTCTAGGAAGCTCCCCATAATGAACTCTCACAGCTGGATATCATGGCGATTTTTGGGGTGGAAGTTAGGGAGAGAATGAAAGAAGCCAAGGAAGGCAGACAAAAATACATGTCCCCATGGACATTAAGTATCCACTCTTCAGGACCCAGGTCATGACACCATTCCTAGTGTTCAGTGACACTCCTGGCCTTCCAAGATCGGCGAAATGGCTCGCCGTTCTGTCTGTACGTTGTTCCTCTGTCATCACCATGCCAGACTGTAAGTCAATTGATCACCTGATCCCAAAACGAGACTGTGAATTAATGGAAAGTAGACTGTAAGACTCGAGTGTTGCTTACTACAGTGCCTGACACATAGTAAGGACTCAACACAGAATCAGACAATTAAAGTTTGGTCATGGGTTTGGATATTCCAATCCAAGGACCAAGTCCTTAATAAAAAACAAAGGAATGCAAATCCCATGACGAGAATTTGACAGTTTCCCTTGTTTCAAGTCTTGCCCTAAAGGTAAAATTTACCACTAGGTTCAACTCTTCTATGTTTTCCATTAATGTTTACATGTGGAACTTCCTAATGTTTAGGGCTTTTGGTTCTTGTTATTTTTTTTAGAGACAAGGTCTTGCTTTGTTGCCTATGCTAATCTCAACTCTTGAGCTCAAGGGATCCTCCCGCCTCAGTTTCCTGAGTGGCTGGTATTACAGGTATACACCATCCTCACACACAGTGATTTTCTACTGTTAAGAATAAGGTCCCCACTTAGGTATTTAAGGATAACACAGAAGTATCTCATGACTAGGGAACACTGAGTAAATTAAATGTCTAAGAGGAGAAAGTTGTTTCTTCTTGATTCCTAATCTAGAAATAAGACCAAAAAAAATCCCACGATGAAAAATGAGAACCAGGAAGGACAGTTTCAAGATGGAGAAGTACCAGCTGCTACATATCAGGCACTTTCTCTGCAAACAGCCCTTCCCTATAAGGTTGACCCCTGATTTCCTTCCCCACTGTCTCCTGGGCAGATATCCCACTTCTACAGTCTCATTAGCTAGCACTGACAGTCCTCCAGGAAGCGGCAAGTGTGGGCCGGCTTCTGATCTCTCTGAGCCAAAAAAGGCTTCCTGAAAAACGACTATGTTCACCTCTCAGCTCCATAGGTAGTAAAACAACTCTTCAGATGCTGCCGACTCTGTTTTCAAGTTGACAAACTGACAAAGCCAAACAATTATGTCTTAACAGAATTTTCCCTTACTAGTACATTAAGATATTGACATTTGCTCTGTGGACAGTAACACTTGCTTCGTAAGGGGACCCCCCCCCCACCCACTCTTTTTTTTTTTTTATATACTTTAAGTTCTAGGGTACATGTGCATAACATGCAGGTTTGTTACATATGTATACTTGTGCCATGTTGGTGTGCTGCACCCATCAACTCGTCAGCACCCATCGACTCGTCATTTACATCAGGTATAACTCCCAATGCAATCCCTCCCCCCTCCCCCCTCCCCATGATAGGCCCCGGTGTGTGATGTTCCCCTTCCCGAGTCCAAGTGATCTCATTGTTCAGTTCCCACCTATGAGTAAGAACATGCGGTGTTTGGTTTTCTGTTCTTGTGATAGTTTGCTAAGAATGATGGTTTCCAGCTGCATCCATGTCCCTACAAAAGAGGCCCCCCCCACCCCCGCCCACTCCTGTACATACACTGTGGGGGTTTTGCTTTTTGGGGTTTTTTTTTTTTTTTTTTTTTGGAGACAGGATCCTGCTCTGTCACCTAGGCTGATGACAATCTCCCTCCACTGGTGCAATCTGCACTGATACAATCTCCACTCACTGCAGTCTCCACCTCTCAGGTTCAAGCAATTCTTCTGCCTCAGCCTCCCAAATAGCTGGGATTATAAGCGTCCACCACCACAACTGGCTAATTTTTGTATTTTTAGTAGAGATGGGGTTTCGCCATGCTGGCCAGGCTGATCTCAAACTCCAGAGTGCTGGGATTACAGGTATCA